TACTTGTAATGTTAAAGCAGACAGGTCTTTGCTTATATTTGCCTATATTATTTTAGTAGCTTTATTATTTTAGTAGCATTTTGTTCATTATTATTTTATCGGCATTTATTATTTGTATAAATTTTTTCCCAAATGTTTAGTGCATATCTGGATTTATTCCCCATATTAATTCTCCATTTGAGTCCTTATAAGAATTAAACTTTTTTTTCCAAACTGTTGGAATTCTCATTTGAAGTACTGTGTTATCAGTGGAAGGCTATTTGAAGTTACTGTTACTTTACTTTGAAGATACAAAAAATGCAACTTGTGAGAAAATATTTAACATCATATTCTATTGGAAGAATAATTAATTTGTTTAAAATGGTCTTTAGCAAATTATTAAAAAATATGATCTCTGACTTCTCTCTGTCAGTCTGACTCTATAATTAAACACACATTTTCTAAAATTCTGCCCAAACATACAAAAAAAAATTCATGCCACAGATGTAAAAAGATATTGTCTTTCAGATGAAGAGTTAGTTTCAGCAACTCTGGACTATGTGGTTTTTTTTTTGCTTTGGCTGAGGATACAGGGGAAGACCTGTTTCAGCTCAGAGACCGTCAAAATCTGTATTAGATCAGTATGTAATATCAACAACATAAATCCTCTGACTCGTGTTAGAGCTTGTTCAAGCAGGGCTCAGCTGTTTGCACTCTGTACCTTAAAAGGGTTGCAGCTGTAGAGATTTACTGAGTAGCTACATGATCCTTGGTGCATAAATTACCAAATATCAAATGCTGGTTGCAGCATCAACAGAAGATCAGAAGTAGGGAGAGTGAATCACTGATTATATCAGCTCAAATTCTGTTGTATCTTCTGTGACTTGTAGAGCCCAAACTATTTTCTGATAAGCATTAGTTGCATCAATCAATCCTCAGACAGGGAAAAAACCCAACACCTCAGGCTTGCTTTACAAGAACTTTCTCTGCCAAAGCTGGGAGACTTGTCAACTCTAATACAGTGATCTCGTGGCACTTACTATCACCATGTTTCTTATGCCCTGGGAAGGAACACATTTGATGTGTAACAGACGCTACTGGAAAAACTTTGCTAAGCTACTATGGGGAAGGTCTGTGGAGTTTGAGGGGCAGATGCACATTAACATAGTAATTTAAGATAAGTTATTTCTTATTTTGGTGTTCGTATTATGAACAGGATATTTTACACCTACAAAAGAAACCCTCATTCTTGCCTCAGGAAACCATTTTCATTCCTCACAACATCAAGTTTAAGTACTATAGCCAATTAATATAGATCCTTTAATAATTAGTTTATTGTGCTGATGCACCTGATTGTCAAAATCAATCGTTCTTATCTTTCAAATAAAACACTGCTGTCAGAGTGACCATTCGAAATGACAATTGAACCTGTAAACTACAAGGATTTATATCATTATGTCAACAAAATCATTGATCTTAAGATTTGTCTCTACAATTCTTTACATAGAACCATAAAAAAATTCTTGGATCACTTGCAACACAAAGTGATTGGATTTTCTCCTAGAAATTGTATGTCCCTTTTAAATCTCTGTAAGTTTTTGATATTCAGAAGAATCTGTACACCTTAACTACACATAGTGCAAAGAAATATCTTTCATTTGTTTTTAAAATGGCCTTTGATAGTTTCACTTCATTTCTCTAATCTGTGACTGAAGTTTCATTTCAGTGAAGAGCCATCAAGAAATTCCCCTGAATTACAGGGTGTTTTCCACTGAAAAAAAAAGTGACTTCATTTGAAAATAGAAATGTTGAAAATTTCTTCTTATATTTTGAATTTAATTTCCAGAATATTTGAAGAGGTTGAATATACCAGTAGACAAAGTCTTATGTACCAGAAGTCTGATCAAGTTTTGCTAAGGAGCAAAAGAACAAAAACATGAATTGTGGTGCTTTTTATTAGTTCACAAGTCTACAAATTCAGAAGTTTTAGTGCCAGAGATAAAACAAAAAACAAATGTCGGAATCATCTATCTGAATATCTTATGACCAGTTTTGATGTTCATATCCATGTGTTCCTACAATAGCAGAAAGAGGTGTGGTGTATATTCTCACATGCCAAGTTTGATCACAGTTTGACCGGTTCATCTCTTTTGTAAAGAAAGAATACTCCTTAAGACTTTTTTTTTCTACCTATATTCTGGGAAATCCTCTGTAGAAATGTCAGTGAGTGACAGTCAGGTATTTAAAGGACATGTGCTTTTTACTTTCTGAACTTCAGCTCGTCTTTCAGAGGAGTGAGTGAGAGAAAACAACCATTTCACTTTATCTGTCTCAGCTGACATAAGCTATGGAATAAAGCGATTTTGGGGACTGGACAAGTATAACTGGCCATATTTGGAGAAGGCTATTATCTTCTTTGTTATGATGTTATTCATTGCCAAAATGTCTGGACCATTTTAAATCATACAAAACAGTAGTACTTCACTGGTTTGTAGTAAGGTATTGGTGAAAAATACGGTATTGATGTTCATAGTCTACAAGAAAACTTTTCTGTCATTTTCCCATTTTCCTTATATATGTGAAAGTACTGTGACGTTGAAAATATTACATTTGCAGGTATTACATGTAAACATATTAACATCAGGCAGTCTGCATTTGCTATGGAAGCCTAAAAAAGAGGTTTTACTGCCGCCCAAAGATTAATCAAGAAGGTAATCACATCTTACTCCCTAAATCTTTCATTTTATTATTTTGAGATTTCTAATAGACACATAGTGTTATAATATTTTAATGACGTAGAGATTGACAGTTCTGTACAGGAAGAATTTTTAGATTTGGTTGCATAACAATGACTAGCTTCTAGACAAAGTTCTTAGAAATTCTGTGTAAATACAGAAACAAAAATTAATATCCCTTTGATTAAAACATAGTAAAATTTGTAAAATCGTTGTTAATATTCTGTCTTAGGAACTCCCAAAATTCATTTAGTTCCAAGGGAAGGCCAGGGACTTTTTCAGGCACGCTACTATTTCCCTTGGATAGTTTTGTCTTTAAAAGGTGAAACACTAAATTATCCACTTGGGAACAGGTTCTGAAAACATATGGTTCTTTAATATTATACACTGGACTCCAGAAGAACTAGACTTTATTAGTCCACTAATTTACAAGATTTCTTTCAGAGACATGGGAGATACTAAAGCATAGCCTGAATTTTACCAAATTTCCCTAGACCTCCTAGGTTCTGGGAAAACTTGTAGCTGTAGTCTAAGGCTGAAATGTTCATTATTACAGAAATCTTCCCAATATGTATTTAAGTTTCCTTTCCAAAGACAGCTTAACTAGCAGCAACAGGGTCTTTTTTAGGATTTTAATAAAAATAGTGATTCGGACGTGGGAAAATTAATCTAAACTCCTTTATGCTCAAAATATATTTTTTTCTACCTCAGACATTCATCTTTTGACTTAAACTGTTTCCTGTTTAAGGGGAGAAGAGCAGCAGATAGGTAAACAGATAACATGAAATATTTTTCTTTCAAAAATAACCCCAAAATTATTTACAATTCCTTTCTCTGGATTTTGGTGAGACAACTACTGGGACAGGTGGTTGCCCCCCACTGCCTGTGGTAGCACTTCACTCGCTGTTTCAGATTGTCAAGCCAGAGGGCTGCCCTTGCTCCTGCTGGGCCGACAGGCTCCATCCAGGGAGCAGACGATGGTGACATTTGCTCCAACTGCTCTAGTGGTTCTGCTAGCTCTGCTTTTCTGCAAGGGTACACATGGTTCTGCGACTGGGATTACACTCTTAAGCAGACTCCTCTACCTTTAAAAGCTTTTAGACTCTGACTTCTGCTTTAGAAGACTTTAAATTATTGCCTTAGACTAGGGCAGCCCATGGACATTTGGGTTTAATTAGTTGTCCAAGGCTTCTACACACTCTCATAATTGTAAACTCTCCTTCACTTCACCTTATAATGTGCAGGTGCTTTTAACAGAAATACCTCCCAAATACACCTGGCAACAACATACACAAATTGAATAAGTTTCAGGCTTGCTTGATGGTGGGGTTTTGTGCTTCTCTCTACTGGATAGCACTCATCACTAGCCATGATGTTTTAAACATGCATTTTAAAGCTGTACATTTAAAATATATTTGAAGAAAGATTCTGAAATATCAAAATCAGCCATCCTGTTGTTTTATAGTGATGAAATTAAAGGAAGTTCTGAAGGTCAAATATTGAAATGACAATATTCAACTAACTTATGGGTAAAAGTCTACTGGGCTCCCTTTCCCGAAGTTTTTTTTAATGGAAAAATAATGAAAATTAGAATAGAATTCTGTGCCAAAAATCAATTTAAAAATAAATCAGATTATGTCCTTGTAACCTAGATAAAATTCTTTAGAAAATTCTGTGATGGTTGCAATATTATACAATCAGAGAAAGTTCAATCAAAATCAGACTTAAAGGAATGGAAATTTTTCTTACTGCAGAAGCATACATTCAAAACAAATTCAGCTTCACTTGGTATCAGTTGATGAGAGTCAAACATTTTATTAGTCTTTAAATCAAGTTAATCCAATTGGAAACATTAAAATTATTATAAGAGCACATGAGTATTGCATTGTGGAAGCTTTACAAACAAATTGTAAAATGAGAGTTAGGAAAAATATGACTGAATTTGATGTATTCTCTGGCAATTAAGACAATATAATTTCTATGCAGAACAGTCTTCTGTAGTAAGTTAGAGGATGTGTTCTATTTAGTAATTATTTACATAATTGTTTTCTGTACAAGTCATTTATTAACAACCTATACTTTACTATAAATTCATTCAGCAAAATCCTAGCCACTAAAAACTCATTTACAGTTTTTCCATTTGTTTCACTGGAACCATAATCTTGTCATCTATTTTTTGGAGATGTTCATAAGTGAATGAGTCAGGGAAATTGTAGAAGTGGCCAATAATTTCATTTTTTAGAAGGGCGTTTGGCAGTAAGCGCAATCATTTACTTATCTGTCTAGGCTTCTCTGGATCGAATCATTAAAGAAAATCTGTGGTTAGTTCAGGAATATAAAATCTTTCATGACTACTACTTAAACAGTAAAAATCTAACAGAACGCTACAACAATATTATCAGGTTTCAAGCTGCTGCTAGAGACCATCAACAGGTAAGTGTTAATACTGCTCATTCAATTAATTGATCTCATCTCTAAAATTCAATGGATGCAACTATTTAATAACACTAAAATACTTCCATTAATACCTATCACCATAATTCTCCTTTTCTTCTTGGATATTTCACACTTTCATATTTTCATTTTTTGCTTCCTTGCTGTGGTGGGGTATTTTATTATTTTTACAGAGCAGTTCATGTAAGGTTCTCAAAATACACTATACATAAATTGCACTTTTGCATCTGAAATGTATTTACTGTTACATAAAACTTCTCCATAAAACACTTTTTCTGCTAATTGTGAGTTTTATGACATTTATGGTCAGACTCCATAAGCCTTTAATTCAGAAAACAGTCAAGTGAAAATCAAAAAAGGTAAAATCTATGACAATGGACTTGTATGATGGAGATATAGTGACCAGATGTAATGTTTTATTGACTCACTAGATACAACATAAAAGATTTTATTTTTTTAATTTAACAGTGCTGTGAAATCTGAGTCAAGTGATATTTTAGAACTTCATTGTGGCAATGACAGAAAAAATATTTCCTATTTCTTTTCCTTGTGTTTATACATAGCTCTCAAAATAAAATCTTATCAGTACCTACTGTAATCAATTAAAAATATTGTTCAGGTGTTTTAGGTTATTCCTTGATTGCCTTCAATGTCTACATTTTAGGAAATTAATATTCATTTAAGTCATGATCAGACCTTACCTTCATATCAGGAATTTCAGGTAAGAATCTTTATTAACTCAGATCATATACAGGAACTAGGTTCTGATATATTGGCATTTTACTCCATTTTCTGGATGGACAGTGTAGAAATGCTCAAATAAATACCTTAAATGTAAAATTCAGATTATTTGCTAGTACTTTACTCTTAGTGTCCATTGTATGTCTTGTGCCTGTAACTTCATCCATTGCTCATTTTTTCATAATACTGCAGTTAATTTTGCATTGCAAAATTCACTGGATTCAGTTTGGTCCTGATAAACATAAATAAGAAAATCCCTTCAAGATGTTCCTATTAACTATAGAGGTCTTCTATATTTCAGACCAAAACTCTTTTTAAGTCATATATTCTTAGGCATAACCGTATTTGGAGAAAAAGTTGGAGATTCAAAACATAAAACCCAAAAGAAATTATTGCCTATCTTTCTTTACCAAGTGAGTGTAAATTATGTTCTGTTGATATGACAGCAGAGGCAATGCTATGAGTATTGAAATGTTTGCTTAAAGGGACTGTATTATATCAGGAATATGAAGGGGTTTTTTCTGCATGAAGAATTAGGGCATGCTCTCTTCCAGCCTCTCTACAGAGAAATATACCTGTGTAAGTTTATCAACTGGACCTTTTATTTCTTTGGGTGTAAGAATATCTCTTTTCCACATTCTCAGAATTTAATAGTTCTTGGTAATATCTGCAAAAAAAGATTTTCCACTCAATAGTTTACCTCTTCTGGACATAGTATGGATGATATTATCATGCATCTCAATGATGTAGTCTGGAAGCAAAAGAAAATTGCAAATGAGCTGGCATATATTATTGCTTTTTTCCCTCTCAATTTGAATACAATAAAATAAACATAGTAAAATATAGCAAAATAGCAATGCAATACCAACAGGATCTAGTTTCATTAGCAATGTTATATAATAATATTTTTTGCTTTTTAAAATCTTGTTTATGAAGAAAATGGTTATGAAGCTCCTATTCTATAGGAGCTTATAATCAGCATTACAATACATATACCAAGCTTGAGGAAGGAATTAGCAATGGCAATGTTTAGAACTTTGGACAGTCCTCTGTGCCTTTCAGCAATGGTATGTGTATGAAGAATGGAAATGCTCCTCACAACACTAATTTAAGGATTACAGAGACAACCTAATTTCCTTTTTGATAACTCTTCATTTTGTTAAATGAATAACTAGTCCAACTAGTAAAATATTCCTACCATTCTCACATAAAGAAAGTATTTAAGAATTATGACAAAAGGAAAAACCATATTGATTATATACACTACCTATGAACAGATACATTTTCTTCTCAGGTTTTTGCTAATAAGTGAATTACATCAGCAACAGAAAATCAGTTGTGGAGGAGAAGTGTCAAAGTAACGATTTTTATTGGTGCTCTGCTATATATGTGCACTAGTACAATGACAGGAACATTCAAGAGGTGTGTTTATCCTCAATTCCTGAGAAGTTGCTTTCCTATATATATAATTACTCAAAATTAGAAGCCAATTTTTACTAATACTTATGTAAAAGCAAATTGACTTTTTTATTCAATTTTTTTAATTATTATTTTTCTTCCTTTTAACTGGAAAACACCCACAAAGTCTTCAAGGCCAGGCTCGATGGGGCTTTGAGCAATCTGCTCTAGTGGAAAGTGCTCTTGTCCATGACGGAGGGTTTGGAACTAGATGATTGTTAAGGTTCCTTCCAACCCAAACCATTCTATCATTCTATGACTCTAATGTTTCATTTGATCAAATATCAGTGCAGTCAAATATCACTCTGAACAAGAAAAGTATTTCCCTATAGTTCTTTCAGATACCCTTACTCTCAATTTGTTTTTCTTAGTGGTTTACTCTGAAACAACACTTCCCTCCACAAAGATATTCTTCATATATCCCTTACATCTATATTTTCTAGTGGGATGTCTGTCATGTTGAATGTGCTAGCTTCACTATAAGATGAATCACACATTTCCATTTTTTTCTAGATGACTTTGGAATAAACTCTAATAAGTCTTGATAATATCTTTAAAGGTATCCTATTTAGTACCAAATATTTTCCTTAAATATTTGGGTTTGAGTGTAGACACTGTGGGGGGTTTTGTTTGGTGGTTTTTGTTTGTTTGTTTTTCAATGCTGATAAGTTATTAGTTTGCACCTGTATATTGTGGTGTGGCAAAATCCTCCATGTATGAGATTTGTAGATTAGTATGTATGTGGTAGACAGCAACAAAATCTTGCTTAATACAGCTTCTTCCCTGCAAATATATAGCAGCAGTTTCTTCTGGAAGTCTCAATGCGCTAACATATTTGCACCAGGAATATGATTATGCTTTAAAAACAAATCTAGTCATTCACCATATCTTTCTTTTTGCACTGAATAATCTTAGAATATCTAATCAATGAGCAAAATTTGATACTTCTGATGTGTTGTGCTAATGTGTCAGTGGTTGTACTGCAGACATCAACTTTTGTTCTCATAGTTAAATTAAGGAAGTTTTCCAAATATAAAGGTATAGAATGTCATTATAACTTAAGAACTTGTATCTGTCCTTAATACTGCAAGCAGCATTGTCTTGCAAAACATTGATAATTTGGTTTTTTTCACATAACTTTTATGTAAAAGTTATGTGAACTATAATGCAAACTATAATTGCTTTAAAACATAAGGAAAATATTCATTTTTGTATTCACTATCTGCTATCTTCAGGTGGTCATGTTATAGCAATATTTTGGGGGGAGGAGGTCTATTGATTCCGGTTTATTTTTTAATTATTTTTTTTTACTTTCTGGATAACTGACATATTATTGCAGTAAAACATATGTAGGGTCAATTCATGCTGAATAGTTATTAGAAACCATGATAACAAAAGTCATTACACTTCAGTTCAGTTTTGACAGTAAAATTTCTGCAACATTATCACAAATCCTCATGCGTTAGTGCAACGATCCTTACTATAGTTTCGTAATAGAATCAAAAGACTGCTGTAGCATGCTTGATACAAAAAGTCATGCAAGTCAAGTGAAGTTCTTTTATGCTTTTATAGATAACATGTTTTCACGTCTTGCTCATGCACATATCTGAGTCTGAGCCCTCTTGGATAATTCTGTCTTTAGTATATTTCTCATCTGGGATATGACTGTTTTAAAATGTCTCTGTTGTTTAGAAAGGCCAAATAGAGCACAAAGTAGACCCAACAATGGGACAATTAATTCCTTCTGATTTTGTTGTTTCTGTGCACTGACCTAACAGAAAAAAAATTAGTTTTCTCATATAAACAAAAAATAATTTCTATCTCTAAATTGTGGTTTTAGTTCACTTGTCTGGAGATCTTGGTTTGCTTCATGTCATCACAGTACTAACAATGAAAGCATGGAAAAGATTTTGACAAAAAATGCCCCACCCATTCCCAATTCTTTACAAATCTTAAAGGAAAAATAAGACTCTCAAGGATTCAGTGTGAAAAAAAAATTATCATAGAAGGAATGCTTATAAAAATAAAAAAAATTATTTTTATCTATTTCTGAATTTAATTTTAAACCAGCTTTCAGAAACGTTTTGATTTGGAACAGAAATGGATAATTGAGCTGAAATTTGGAATTTGTCAATATAACAAGACTAGATAGTAGCTAGTAGGTAAAAATACATAATTTACAGATTTTTTAACTGAGATTCTCTCTGCATTTAGAGTTTTGATACTATAATACATTGACAGAATACCCAGCTTTATATGAAAACATGAGGGAAAAAGAGGTATCTTCAATAAACTTTTCATTATGTAAATTCACTAAACTTTCTTTGAGCTAATTATATTTAAACAATGTAAACGTCAAGTTGATGTTAGGATTAAATTTGAATCAATAACTTAATAAGTTCAAATGACTCAATCAGAAAATTAATGCAACCGGCTGCCAAACCAAATTATTATTCTGATAGCAAAAGGATGTTATCAAGATAATTTATGGAGAAGTTGGTCTCCTTTCCAGATGCATCAGTCACATCAGTGACTAATCAGGTCAGAGTTTTGATGCACAGTCCTGCATCACAGAATGCAATGAAATCTGTAGGATGTCAGTGTTAGTTCAATCCTACAGTCACCCAGAAGAAGGTGTCCCATTTCAGCAAGTGAAATCTCTTTGTTTTGGTTTGCTGGTTTGTTTTTTTACTAAAAGAAATGTAGATATTTGATAATTTGGTTAGACATTTTATGCTACAATTGAGGGTTTTCTAATGCCCAGAGAGTAAAGATGATGG